AGTAGCTGTATGCAAGTAGCTCAATAGTAATCTTCTATGATGCTGTTCTTAACTCTAGAGGTACATCGGAATGGGCTTGAGAATTACATTTAAAAACAATACTAAGGGGATTGTGTAATACAGTCATCTGCATCGTGGACACATTGATAAAATAGATGGAAAACGTCCAGTCACACTTGAAGTTCAATCAGTTCGGTTCATATGCAAAAGGTTTATTTGTTAGACGTCACTCATCTACCGTCATCGATGTCTAGATGCTATGATTGGCATCTGTTTATGTAAATATGTTCAAACGTGCATGCACAGTTGAATCTACCGTGGATATTGTAGTCGAGATCATATCAATCATTCATAATAGCAAGGTTTTGATAGGCATTTGCCGTACATAGTAAAAGGAATTGGATATTTCAGGTTACATCAGTTACTCTCAGTCAAATTTGCCTTCATTAGAATGATCGAAATGTGCTGTTTTTCGATTAGACCTGCAAAAATTCACAAGAATCATTAGAGAGGTATTTAGGTGTTCATGTTCATGTCTTCTATTATCGAGCGTTGAGTTTCTGCAACTGAGTTCATCAGATGTACTCCATGCTTATGCCCAAGCTGTCCTTTGCTCGAGACCAAAATAATTCTGCAACCAATACGCTTCAATAGCATCGAACGAGCCCAAGAAGTGGGAGCTGTCGTGGGAAGCAAAATGAGTGCTCATATTTACGCATATATTCAAAATTAAGTTTGCTCAAAGTGGAGCCCAATTTAATTTGACTTGAATAGAATGCAAAATGTATTAAAAAAAACTAAGAGAGATTAGGTTGATTAGCAGAGCTCCACTCCCGGTCATTTTGACTGGCTAATGAAGCACGGTTGAGGGATGGACTTCTAAACTATGATGAAATCTGGATTTCAACCAGCATAATGTCCGAAGTTGCCCTAAGAAGGCCTTAATGCCTATGGTTTTTTAGCTAACACAGCATAGACAGGTTTTTTCTTTTATAAATGGGGTGTGCGATAGACTTACCTTCACGTGGTGCACCCTGGGTAACATATACTCATACGGCAAAAAAGTCTATTAATCGACCATTGACTTCTGACTTCAAACTACCATCACCCCACTGAATGTCATGTTCGGCTACTTCCACAGTAGTCACCTCACCTATTTTCTACCTTTGTGTCTGTCTCTTTTACATCTTTGAAACACTCTTCTGTCCCCCCCCCCTCGACTTCTTTTCACCTTGATGTTTCTTCCCATTGTGAAGCCTGAAGTCAACTAAAGGGCTTATGATGACCATCAAAACGCCTGCCATTTGATATAAATCTTTTATAAATAAATCCTTTAAACCGCACTTCTCCCTTCCTTCGATAAAAGTAATGCCGACAGGGATACATCTTTGTCACAATTTCAAGTAGGCTTCAGAATTGTACAGATTTGTAAATGCTGAAATCCGACTTCATTTGTGAGTGGGCAAGAGGTGGAATCTTTCGCACCACTAATAGTCACACAAAAAGGCAGAATAGTAAATGATATTTGGGAAAATCAGATGGAGAAGATGCATGGAATTAGGTGTACAATCTGATATCTGATAGGAATCATTTAAAGACTGAGTACAAATTAGAATGGTGGAAGTTTTCCTTCTTTTATTCTCTTTAAGTATGCTATGGACTCTGCGAGTACAAATTCAGAAGATGGGAGATGAATTTCTAAATCTAGATAATTTAGCAAGTGAAGGCGTAGAAGAAGTATAAAGCGAATAACAGAAATAAAAATATATTTCTTCTTATCCTCCCTAACCATCAACCCTCTACACAAATTGGGCTCCCTTAATCTTCTCCACTTTCCGGCATGTTTTCTCGATTTCCAATGACACTTTCCCCTTACCGTGAGGCAACTGTAATGCGTGCAGTTGTCTAATTTATCGGAAAATGGACGCTATAATAACTCCAAGTTCCTAGATAAGTCAGGCCAGATGAACTGATTTGGACTTTTTTCCGTTCGACGCCAAAATACTTCATTAGCAATTCAGCACATGTAATACACACCAAAACAGGACACGAAGTCGCACATAAGCAGCATTTGCCGAGTGATCCGGATCAAATACCTCCTGCGATTTACACAGGCGACCTATTTACAGGCCAGCAACAATTTTCTGGAATAAATTTCTCTATAAGGGTGCCTTTTCATCTTCTGAAAAGGTTGCAACAGGCGGAGTTGGTGTTCTTTGTGAAATTCTCTCGGGGGAAATGATCATCCTTAATATTCTTGGGCGATGAATGCGCTAAAGAACCTTGGTGTTAATTTAGCAGCAAAAGGGCTCAATCTCTAATTAGAAATGAATTCAATTAAATTGTCAAAGTATTATGTGCTCTATCCAAAGATAAATGCTACATAAACATCTCAAAACCATGTAATCAATTAAATAAAGTTTTAAATTATACTCTCAAAACATTATTATTATTATATCAAATGGCAGGCGTCTTGATTGTTACCATTAGTTCTTTAGTTGACTTCAGTCTTCACAGAGGGGAAGAAACATCAAAGTGTAAAAAATTCAAGAGGGAGGGGGGGGGGGGAACAGAAGAGTGTATCAAAGCCGAAGGTTGATAAGGTGGAAAAAAGGTGGGATGAGTACTGTGGTAGTAGTCGAATATGACATACAGTGGGATCATGGTAGTTTGAAGTCAACTGCCAGGTAAAAGGCTTTTTTGCCGAATGAGTATACGTTGCCCAGGGTGCACCACGTGGAGGTAAGTCTATCACACACCCCACTCTCAAATCATTGCCCTATCCAGTTCGAATTCGGCCATTCATTCCTCACTTTAATCATACACGCTCTCCCGTTCTTCGTCGAATACGGGAAGTGATGTGTGAAACATGCAAGAATTTCAAATAGTCTTTCCTTCTCCGCATTTTTGGCCGTTTTGATTAGAAATAGAGTTTGTTAGTTAATTTCAATAGGGACGCGCGTGAATTAATGCGATCGACCCTGAACCACAGAAGATTCAAATCAAGTTGCCTTCAAATATTAAAGAAATCCAAGAGTAGTATTTAATCGATACTAGTGCTCACATGACACCTTATAATTCTATTATTTTTAGCTTCAATCAAAACCTCTGCCAATTAAGTGCTCAATAACTCCAAAGGTGGAAATGGCACCACCACCACCACCCTACTAAGCTCTGTCATCTACTTTAAAACTATTTACCAAATAGGCAGAAATTAAATCACAATTGCAATCTATGCTCTTGAAAAAACATGAAGTCATTTAATGTCATGGCGGTGGTAGCAAGTGAAATCATTATTTACTGAACTGAAATTTGCCACGTTTCGCAAAACCACTACACTTCCCTGTGTCGCTTTTTTTATGGACAGACACTTAAAAACTGTCCAATTAGTGACTTTGGCATGACCTTTTCAATTACTGAACTTACTACGACAGGAAATAGATAGCACCATTGAAGTAAACGGAGCAAGTTCGAATAGGCGGAAGGTAAGGTTTGATCTACATTTTGTCCATCGACTCTTCATTATATCAAGTACCAATGTTAGACCGATAGGGCAGTTTGAGAACCTAGACTTTTAATATGCATATCGTACGAAAATTTGGCTAGAGTTTAAGAGTACAAAAGTCACATATGGAATAAATAGGATAATATATTTATTTATTTATATCAAATGGCAGGCGGTTTGGTAGTTATCATTAGTTAATAGACTTTCTTGTCGTATGAGTATACGTTGCCCAGAGTGGACCACGTGGAGGGAAGTCTGTCGTACACCCCAAAAAGTCAGCAACACCGGGTATTATCAGCCGGTCATCCATGCAAGTGCTAACCTGGCCCGACGTAGTTTAACTTCGGTGATCGGACGAGAACCGGAACTTTTTGCGTGGTATGGAATATATATATATATATATATATATATATATAATTTTCTTAATCAAAGGTAACTTTAATGATTTAAATGATTTGAATATCTATCATAATTTTAACCGAATACAATTTTCTCTTTTATTGATATTCTTTTATAGTTCCTGCACTTTCAAGCGTTTAGAACTATCTGAATCAAATCATACTGTGCATGCACAGGAGCAGTTTGTACAAAGTTTATGCCTCACAGAGCTAGTTTCAAGGGGAGCGGTGACATGCTTCGTGTCAAGAAGGCGATGACCAAAATCCTCACTTCGACGCATGAATCATCATTATTGTCAGCATTTTACTAAATGGCAACATCGTTCGAAGGGTACACTGGCCTCTTCAATTATGCCACTTTGTAAGAATTTTTTGCCTATTTGGTTTCACATTTTTGTGCTTCGGTGTAGGGAAAAATGCCACTAAGAAGATTAACTAATCACCACAATGAAATACTTGTCAAAGTCTAATTAGAATGCTCGATTGCAAGTGTGACAATCATTTGCATATGAACCGAATAAGGACCAAACCCCATGACTAGGCGTTGGCGCTTGCATACTTTATAATGCCTTAGACAGTACAATTCGTGGCGTGTCAAAATTATCGATTAATCTATTGAAGTTTGACACCAAATCTCCACAGTTAATATTGATTGAGCTATATAAGGAGTCGCCTTGATCGTATATCTTTTAACTAGCAAATGCATAATCGTTAGTAAACTAGTATATTATTTTAAAACTTTAATTAATTTAATTAATTATGCAGTCTTACTATAAGCCATAATTGGGTAATGAGTCAGTTACACTTTTACATTAAACGTGAGCTAGTCAACTTGGGATATGACAAACACCACAAATCGTAATCACTTCCAAGAATAGCTACCATGTGCTGCTTGACTCACCACCTCAGAATAGAAAAGCAAAAGGTGATTTATGATTTGTAAAAGAGAGATATATTGAAATGGAAGAGGGAGTATGTTTAAAAGCAAGCAATATATGTAACATAGGAAAGGTGGTACAACGCAAACTCAAAGTTAGGGCAAACGCCCTTGAACCGAAAGTAATGCAGTCGAATAAGAAAATTTGAACATCCATTTATTATAGCCTAATAACACTGGTATCTCTATTAGCCAGAGAAATATCTCTGTTCATTTCATAGAAATCCGATTGACGTTTCCGGGGAACAAAAGTTCTGGAAGTTTCCTGGATATCTGACCCATCCTCCCCGGAATAATCGAATTCATCCTCTTGAATATCATCATTATCATTTGAACCATCATTGTCATCATAGAAATTCCTTCTCCTAGGTTGCGTACTTATGGGTCTTCTCATTGGTGGAAGTTGTCCATATCTATCTATCTCTTCCCTTTCTTCAAAAAAATTCCCCCGAACGGGTTGATTACGAGGTAATCCCCTGGACACAGACCTTTTCGAGTATTCCTCTTCATCATCCCGTCGAAATCTTCTCTCACGTTTTCTCGAAGTCGTAGCAGTGTTCCACCGGCGTTCATCCGGGGCTTGATCTTCCAGCTGAATTCGCCTTAGAGCACTTGTACATCGAGGAGGGTGTACAACATCTTCTGCACAGGAGCAGGAAAGACAATGAAGTGATTGATGGGTAGATCGTGGTCTGTAGGTCTCCTCTTCAAAGTCCTCAATTTGATTGGCCCATCGCCGTGCAGTTGCCGGGGTGAGGTAATTGTCATTATAAGAATGATTAGCTGGCCTAGACGATGAATAACCAGGTGAGTAGAAGTTAGAAGTAACACGATTGCCTTGACCGCCTTTTGGACGGAGAATTTGCGGGAATTCTGATAATTTATTAAATGGCCCCGATCGATCAAGACTGTGATGCCGTGATCGTTGGCTGCGCATTTGAAGCGGTGAGTTCTAAAGAAACAAAAAATATTAAGATTTATGTGCATTTATTTCAAGATTAAGAATTTCAATGTCGGCTTTCTTCCAAATCGAAAACTTCGTAGCTTATTCTGACGAGCAACGAAAGTACTCAGAGAGCACTAAGATGATGAAATCGATTATTTAAATAAAGCAAGCCAAGTTTGAACGGGTCGTGGTTCAAATATCTATGAAAGTGCAGTCTTATTCCTAAATCCATTTGACATCTCAAGGTTAATGGGCCTTTTAAAATGGCATTTTTGGATAACCAATCCGAGAAATGAAATGCATCGCTGATCAACATCTGACCCACAGTTTGGCTCTAGTGGTCAGGTTTGCTAAAATAATACATTTATCTCTTTTAGACATAGTATAACTGCAACCTTACAATCAATTTGATAATAAAAAAATAAAATTTAAATTTCTATTACTATTAAACAGAATTTTAATTTTATTGATTAAAAAAATACAAATGCCTATTTTCGTGCGCCTCGTCATTATTTAATTCATACATTTTTTGTGAATTTTTAATCACTGAAAAACGGTATTATAAAATGTTAATGAAAATAAATAGTAATGTTGTTAGAGCATTGTCTTTAGCTGTTCTGACAAGAATATTGAGAATTGAATATTTTACTTACACTTGGGTGGGGATAGCTGTCAAAGCCATTTGTGTAGGTGGGTTTTTCACCAGAAGATGATCGAGATTCTGTATCGAGTCCACTGTCTCTATTGGAGTTCCCAGTCCCATCATTAGAAAGAGGGTAATCTGGTTTAGGCAAGGCGTCACCATACAGTGAACGAGAGGCACCATCGCTATTAATACGACCACGAGTTCTCGGAATGGAATCGAAATGTTTGGAAAGTGTTTGTGGGAAATAGTTAGAGGGATAGGAATAAAGACTGGAAATCGGAGCTTGTAAAGAAGCCGTAGAGTAGATAGAACCCGTCGGAGAAATTCGACCATCTCTCTCAGCCATGGGCGACGTCATATGAAGCTGAGTTGTCGGGACACGAGGGATTGTGGTGCCATCGGGGAATCGATTATCACGGAATTGAACACTCCTATTATTAGGAGTTGACAGAGTATTAGTTGAGGCATCCTTGAGACCACCAGCAAAACTTAGTGCTGAGCTGTTTCGACTTTCCGAAGACTTCAAATTTCCAGGAACTGGAGGGAGTCGAGCATTAGATTTATCATTGCTCTTTCTGTTCTTTTCTTCCCTCTTCGGTTTCTCATTTTTCTCATTCTCCGGCTGTTTCTCTCTTCGTCTACGAGAACCAAATCGGAAACCCATGCGTTTATCCCACTAGCTGTTTAAAATCTCGCGGGGTTGTAAAGTGACTCAATAAATATAAGTAGAGGGTGCTGAGTAGTTTATTGCAAGGCTGATTCCTGATCCAACCAATCAGGTGATTCGATGTGTGCTCATCTGACCAATCAATTACTCTCTTGGAGTGACTGTTGGTTTAATCGCCTTCTACCCTAATGGCATACGCAATCACACTCTTGTGTCTGTGTGGTCATTTTGCTTGTGGCTTCACGATAAGTGCTTCGATTACTTCACGCAAATCTAACAATTGACTATCAGTTAAATTGCCAGAAATTTTCAGCTTTAATTTATTCAATCCTAATTTTCGACAAATTAATTTGTTTATGGAAAGAGTACTTATTAATTCGAGACGAAGAAAGGTTTTGTAAAAATTATTTGATTTATAATGAAATTGACTTGATTAAAAGTGGATTCAGTTTCCTTAATCATAATGTCTATTTCCAGCTTTATTTCCATAAATAATTTGCTATTTACTATTTTTGAATTATTTAGCTGATATTGCTAAAAAGCTTTTAAAATTTGTAGAAGTGGACTTCTGGCACGCTTAGGCGAATTACAATGGGCTTAAATGTGAAATAAGCTAATGGAATCATTAAATTATGATTTACATTTTGCTCCATCATTGTCTGTTGATTCTCATTTGCTTAATCTAACACTAAATTTAAAAATAACTAAAGTCAAATCAAAAGATTGTGGCCAGTTAGATCAGACAATAGATAAATGATTCATATTATTCAATTTGCTCATAAGCGGACGTGAGTGTATATCTGAACTTTAGTCTGTTTAAAATATTGTAGAGATAAGAAAGATTTATCCAGTGTACAATTGGGTTCTAGACAATTAAAAGCTCAAATCTGCATCTAGTACAATACAATGATTCTATCTTGCTAAACGGCAACAATTAACAATCCTTAGATTTTGTGCCGTAATTTGGGGTATAGCAGTGGCCTCACGGTCTCTTTCTCTAAATAACTATTAGGCTGGCAACTAAGTCATTGTCGATTTCAAATAAGAAGGCAAATTCGGAATTTTTGTTTAAAAATATAACTTTATTCAATTAGATATTGGCCGTTCTTGTCGATGACATTTTCCATCCTTCTGGCAGAGTAAAAATTCCCCGTTCGTAAAATGTCTGATCTTTGCTATTAAAAAACTGAATTAGGTGTGATCCGACATCATCCGCGTTGTTAAACATTTTACCATTTCAAGAGTTTTGCATGGAACGAAACAAATGGTAATCCGAAGGCGCAAGGTCAGGGCTATATGGTGGGTGTGACAAAACATCCCAACCCAGTTCCAATAATTTTTGCCGAGTAACCAAAGATATGGGGGGGAGGCCTTGCGTTATCATGATGGAAAACAACACCCTTCCGCCGATTTGATAATGCCGGCCGCTTATCTTCAATAGCATCCTTCACTTTTTCGAGTTCTTCAACATACACATTTGAATTTATCGTTTGGTTCTGCGGCATGAGTTCAAAATACAAAATTCCTTTGTGATCCCACCACACTGACAGCATAATCTTTTTTGGTGAATCTCTGCTGCTTTTGATACTGTTTGGGCTGGTTGATCTTGCTTCACCCATGATCTCTTGCGAGTAACATTGTTGTAAACTATCCACTTTTCGTCGCCAGTAACTAGGTTCTTCCTCGGAAATGGATCATTCTCGTTGCGTTTCAGTAGCGGCGAATCACAGATGCTAATCCGTTGCGTCAAATGAATTTCCTTTAACTGGTGAGGGATCCATAAATCAAGTTTCTTGACATAACCAAGGGTTTTTCATTTTTTTTTCAATGCATGTATGCGACACATTGAGCTTCTCTGCAATATCTCGTATTGTGCTGTGACGATTTGAATCGATAATGGCCTTGATATGGGTTTCATCCACTTCGACTGGGCGGCCAGATCGTTGTGAATTTTTCAGTGAAAAATCACCGGGACGAAATCTTTCAAACCAATTTCGAAGTGTACGTCCTGTTCTTTCATTTTTAAGTTGGGATAAAAACAAAACTAAAGAACTAAACAAAAAAATTTTTTACTAATTAACCTAGAAGCCCATACAGTAAGAAAAAAATATAGGTTAGATGCTCTGGCCACGTTAACAAAACAAAAGAAAGTATAGAGTGAATCCGTCAACAAAAACGGTAATGACTTAGTTGCCAACCCAATAGAATGTGTGGGACACGTTTTCGCTGTGTGCGTCATCGTATGCCTGCATGTCTGCTCGCCAGGATTAGGAGGTGCGGCCGTTCAACTCTGTGTGCAGCGACCGTACAAACAGTGACCAATCATCAACCTCTTTTAACCTAATCCCCCATCCTGATCATGAGTAGCTCCCTGCGTGTACTCTTGATCCGCAATACCCGTACTGACTAAACGTGCTTCGTGCTATACGTCTGTTTCCTTTCATAGCTGGGCTATAGCTTAACTGGTTCTGGGAGTCTAGCTAGATGTAGGGGAATCTGCCACGGAGATTTCTGAGTCAGCCAGGCTTTACTAAGGTAGCAATTCGTTACAAATGTTTGTATTACCGAATGAAAATCTCGGATGGGTTAGAACGCCTCACAACGCTACTAAATTACCCGCACCAATAACAAGATTGGAATTCAACGAAAAAAATTGGAGATTTGCGTTGATTAAAATTAGACAGTGAGACAAAATAATGCAAAGAGCAGAAAGTACGTGGTGCAGAGACGTTTGCCAATTAAAAAGGCCCCGTCAATTGGCGAGACCAGCTACAGTCAATTTGCACCACACAGAAAGACAAAAATTGCACTTTACTCAATCTGATCAACATTCAGTAGATTCTTCTTTTTTGCCTAAGGCGAGATTTAATCGACTCTATATGTTAATGGCCACGTAATTGGCAACTATTACCATAATTGTGCTCTCAGTATTTTGACTTATATTAGCTTTATTGTCAATATCAAGTTCTCTCCAACAATTCCTTCAAGGCCTACTTTAAGGAAGCACATTTGTTTGCGTCGATTCTGTTGCACATTATTTAGTAATCGTATATTATTGAGATATAATAGCCACATCAGGATATTTAAAGAAATCATAATTCAAATTTAAGAGATTGAACTACATTTTTGAAAAAAGATCATCCCCAGCTCATTGAGAGAAATGTCAATCACATTTGAGGGAAAGAATTTTGGAGCTGTTCCTATAGGGAGTTAATAATTCTACAAATCCCCTAAATGAGGTGAAGTAATTAGTGATCTCGTGACCACTGATTCGGTTGCGGTGACCACTGCACAAATGCCGATTAAGCTAATATTTATTTGTTTCAAATGGTAGGCGTTTTGAGAGCTATCAATAGCCCTTTAGCTGGCTTCGGGCTTCACAGAGAGGAGGAGGAATATCAAAGTGAGAAAAATTCATGAGAGGGAATAGAAGAGACAGACACAATGCAGAGAAAATGTAAGATGAGTACTGTCCTTTTAATCGGGATTTTTAAGACCAAAGCTCGGCTCTGATCCCGATCGTCAATACATGGTTCGATACAATCAGAGTGAAATAAGTTTAATTGGCAATTATAGAGAAGTCGATGGTTCTAATCAGTTAAGAATCACCAATAGCCCTTTGACCGCCTCTTGTCTGAACCACATTAAACTTCATTGAAATGAGACCTCGAAGTGTTTGGCACACCTGCAGAAGTTGGAAATAAACAATGAAGTGGCGTATTTTATTGTGTGAAGAACTAGACCTTTCAAAAAGTAGTTGATTTATAAGTGCTCTGTTGCACAACTTGCTTTGGCTAACTTGGCACACTCAAAACATTCTTACCGATCTTTAACAATATACTTTGCTAACTTAGGCTCTTCTTATTCCTAAAGTCACAGGAATTACCGATAAGTGGTATACAATATCAAGATTACTTTTAAACTTGGGGTTTGCATTAAACTTATCTCCGTGTGGTGCACCTTGGGCAACGTATAATCACACCGCAAGAAAGTCTATTAACCGGCAGTTGACTTCTCACTTCAAGCTACCATCACCCCACTGTATGTCATATTCGACTTCTTCCACAGTACTCACCTCACCTTTTTTCTACCTTTGTGTCTGACTCTTTTACATCTTTGAAACACTCTTCTGTCCCCCCCCCCTCTTGAATATTTTCACTTTGATGTTCCTTCCCCCCTGTGAAGCCTGAAGTCAACTACAGGGCTAATGATAACTATCAAAATGCCTGCCATTTGATATCAATAAATATTTTAACTTTAATGTGAAATGCTTTATTCAACTACTATACAAATAATTATATTTACTTGAAAGAAAATGTTAGTTTTTAAAGTCGTACCAATACTATGATGAATGTCTCCCTAAGAGTTTCTTAAAATTACTTTTGACAAAACTTAATTTTCTTTTTTCTCAGTCAAGTGAAAAATTCAGTGCGTTCCCCTTAGTGCACCCGAACACCGATCATTGGTTCACGTCTCGATTAGATTATACTCTGAGCAGAAGTTTTATTTGACCCTCTGATCTTGGCTATTCCCTCTCTCTTCGATCTTAAGTACCAAGAGATTATCGAAGTCTATTTGAAGAGAAATTCTATGAGATGTTACGTTAACAGTAACTAACTTGTTAGCTATATCCTGGACACACACCAGTTGAAATCAAGGTACACCTGATTTTCGTTTCCGTATTCGAAAATTAAGACCTGGTAGGCATGAGTCAGTTACTGGCCTTGGTATTCTTATTTTGCCTTCTAGGAGTCTTACACCATGATAAAGTCCTTTGAGATGTCTTGCCTTAAGTACATTTCATTAACCTATCTCAATGGCCGAAACGCGACATTTACTAAGATGTGGCCAAGTTAAAACCACATTACTCCACCCCGTTTTGGTCTATTTATGCGTCAGCATGTATACGATCTTTTAACCCCTGTATCGAATGAGCGCTTTGCCTTATTTTAAGGGCATATTGATAGCTTCATTGTTTACTAACATCATGACAAACTGATTGATTTAAACGCAGTCCCTTTCTGCACCACACCGATAAGGCATATTAAGTTACCCCCCCCCGGCTTTCCTTCTTACTGAGGGGTAAAGCAAGGTTGACAACTAAGTGGCTAGGAATGTTAGAGTTTGGCCAATTCCAATCTTTGTGGTTAGCAGCTTAAAACTTCAAATGCGGTTCAATTATTGTTATGTACCGGAAACAGAAACAGAATCACATTGCTAGGTCAGATCAGGTTACCGTGGCGTTACAAACTCCATATCATTGATAAGATAAGTTTGTGAGAAGAATAGGTCTACGTCCAGAATCCATGTGTCCCAATTATATGATAAGGAAAGCGAGCCGAAGTACTTACATGAAAAGTACATTTCCACAAATAGACCTGCTGGGTCTTCCAAATTAAGCTCTACATTGTACACAGTTTAGCAGACTCACGGCAATTCATGAATGTTGATAATTCACCTTGATGTCAATCAGCCCTTTGAAATAGCAGCAAAGGTGCCAGTATTTTGTAGTTAAAATGGACCAAAGACCAACCTTGATAAACCTCAACTGATGTCATGATTTGAAATTCAAGGTCATTTATTCCTCTTTACCATATTGGACCACTTCAGTTGTCTTCATTACCGTGAAGATTTTCATAAGAATTCAGAAGGCGTTATAGTTTATCGAACAATTCTTATTTCTTTTAAACAAGTCATAGGGTACATTAATTTACAAAATGTAAAAGCTATTTTTCATTATACACCACTCTACTCTCGTCCTTTTGAAAATGCTAGGATTAAACAAATTGTATAATTTTAATTTTGCCTTTCCTTAAGAGTATGTATAATAATCAATTTTACAAAAATAGTAAATAAATATTTTACCTGTGAGTTTTTAAATTCCAAATACAGGGAGAATAAAAGATGCAGAGATTGAATTCGATTATTTTCATAAACGGGAATATCCATTATTCCTGAAATTGTAATAAAAGTGTGAAATTCGACTGAAAACCTCAAAATAAAAGTTGAAATCACCCAGTATCTCAATGGAACCAATACTTGTTGAATAGGGGTGTGCGGTAGACTTACCTCCACGTGGTGCACCCTGGGCAACGTAGACTCATACGGCAAAAAAGTCTATTAACTGGCAGTTGACTTATCACTTCTCATACGGCAAAAAAGTCTATTAACTGGCAGTTGACTTCGGACTTCAAACTACCATCGCCCCACTATATGTCATATTCGACTACTTCCATAGTACGCATCTCACCTTCTATCTACCTTCGTCTTTGAAACACTCTTCTGTCCCCTCCCCCCCTCTCTCTGCTTTTTTTCACTTTGATATTCCTTCCTCTAAGTGAAGTCTGAAGTCAACTAAAGGGCTAATGATAACTATCAAAATGCCTGCCATTTGATATAAATAAATAAATACTTGTTGAATACTTACCACACACAATGTCGATGTAATCCTCAAGGCTACAGTCTAGAGAGGCATTTGGAAGGTCAACTGTTTTGAGCGTTTCCTCGAAATCCTCCGGCCATTCACTCATAAGACTCGTCAAATCTGGCATCGGACTAGAATAAAAACGATAAAACTACGCGTTCATTGATCGTTCGCAAAATTTAAAAGCAATGCGCATCAGCCAAAGAGAAATGTTTACCAACTCACAAAATGCTACTTTATTCAATCAGTAGAAGTACCTTTAAGGTCAGAGACATCCACTGACAATACGAATGACATGCTAAGGGATACTATGACGCCACTCCTCCCCGAAATCTAATAACCCACTTGATATGACTAACATACAGGTGACTTAGATGCGAAAAGAGATAGGAACGAACAATGCATTTATATATACATTCCGATTATTCCAGATACTTTATTATTGTAAAACTGCTTAAGGCCTGTAGTACTCATACGCAGAGTAAAAAACGACACCGACAGTACCTCACATTCATCATGCAAGGAAATGGGGCCTCAAATTAAGAAAATAAATCAATTAAAAGCACTGAGTATAGACCGATGCGTAACAAGCTCATGATGCTTCTTCTGTATGAAAGCATGATTGCAAGCTCACTCCGTCGATAACATTGAGAAGTGTGATAACTAGCAATATCATTAATGCGGAAATCCAATTGAAACAAAATAAGCGGTGAAACAGAACTTCGATTGTTCAGATTCGGGCAATAAGGAATCCTCGTATGCTTTCATTAAGTAGGGTTTCCTAAAGCCCTTCTCTAAGCCTCCGTGTTGTCATTCCCAGTCGCAGGATCTGGTTGCGAAGTTATTTATTTATTTATTTAGAATGGCAGGCGTTGTGATAAGTATCATTAGCCCTTTAGCTGACTTCGGGCTTCACAGAAAGGAAGATGAACATCAAAGTGGCAAAAAGTCGAGAGGGGGACACATCAATGTTTCACAGATGTAAAAGAGATAGACAGACAGACACAAAGGTAGAGAAAAGGTAAGGTAAGATGAGTACTGTGAAATTATTCAAATATGAAATGCAGTGGGGTCATGGTAGTTTGAAGTGAGAAGTCAACTGCCAGTTAATAGACTTATTTGTCGTATGAGTATATGTTGCCCAGGTTGCACCACGTGGAGGTAAGTCTATCGCACACCCCAGTTGCGAAGTTGATTGCTATATTTCAATCACTTGAACGAAAAGGTATTTAAAATTTGTCTGTATGAAGGTGATTAATAGCTATTCATTTTGGATATAATCTGTCGAAAAGCTGCCTACTCCTTTTTCTCATACCAGCATCGAGCCACAAGAAATTCTAAAAGAATGCTTAATTGTGTGGATGCGCGAATTATGGAGCCGTCCCAGTTCCAGGAATTGACTTTTACAAAATAAGTTGAAAAGGCTTATTTGATACTGTTAATAATCCCGATCAGTGAATGAATAAAGGAGGGAGAGAGAGAGCACAAATTGAGGCGACTGCCTAATTTATAAAATTACAATAAAAATGTAAATTTTATGAATGAAGCTTCTCCAAGATTTCTCTCGGTCCCTTCATTCGCACTATCCATCCATGCCTTAATTTTACATGATCGGGGTGTGCGATAGACTTACCTCCACATGGTGCACCCTGGGCAACGTATACTCATACGGCAAAAAAGTCCATTAACCGGCAGTTGACTTCTGACCTCAAACTACCACGACCCCACTGTATGTCATATTCGACCCCTTCCACAGCACTCATCTAGCCTTTTCTCTGCCTTTTTGTCTGTCTGCCTCTTTTGCATCTGTGAATCGCTCTTCTGTTCCCTCCCCCTCTCTTTTTCACCTTGATGTTCCTTCTCCTCTGTGAAGTCTGAAGTCAGCTAAAGGGCTAATGATGGCTATCAAAACGCCTCCCATTTGAAATAAATAAATTTTACATGATCAGAGAGCACATTTTAACTGATTCACCCATTAGTGGCGTGCAATGGCACTTTAAGTCCCGTCTTTTATCACAAGCTAAAGTAAATAATTAAATTTTACAAGTACCATAATAAATAATACCCCAAGTAGGACCGGTTTTATAGATATTTACAGTTTGAAAGCACTTGTTTTTTAGGCACGCATAACTTTTTTAGCACTGCAGACATTAAGTGAATAGGCATATCACTGAATCAAGTGAGGTTTGTATTTTATTTCTATTATTTGCTTTATTATATTTATAAAACCAAGGATTTAAACTTAGTAACAAAATTCTATAATTTATTATGATTACTAATCACTTCTATTATCTGACCAATTAAATTCAAAGAAATAATTTCACCCATCAAATATTGATTTTGAATTTGCTCACTTATGCTATGCAGGCTTTTTGGTTCAAAGAACGTAAATAGCTAAAGTGACGAATTACCACTAAATATACTCTTCAGCCGATCAGTAAGCATGAAAAAACGTGAATTCAATCACACCCATGAGCCTGGGTGTTAAATAATGATGCCTGAACAAGTGGACGATCAAACGTTCCGTAACTAAAATAGAGAGTAGTGATGTTCTGGCTTCCTTATCTTTCCATAAATGAGGTGCGCGATAGACTTACCTCCACGTGGTGCACCCTGAGCAACGTATAATCATAGGGCAAAAAGTCTATTAACCGGCAGTTGACTTCTCACTTCAAACAATTGGGTTGGCAACTAAGTCATTGCCGTTTTTGTTGACGGATTCACTCTATACTTTCTTTTGTTTTGTTAACGTGGCCAGAGCATCTAACCTATATTTTTTTCTTACTGTATGGGCTTCTAGGTTAATTAGTACAAAATTTTTTTGTTTAGTTCTTTAGTTTTGTTTTTATCCCAATTTAAAAATGAAAGAACAGGACGTGCACTTCCGACACACTTTATTGCATTACTTCCGAAAAGGCAAGAACGCATCGCAAGCACAAAAGAAGTTATGTACCGTATATGGAGATGAAGCCTTAAAAGAAAGGCAGTGTCGAAATTGGTTTGAAAGATTTAGTTCCGGTGATTTTTCACTGAAAAATTCACAACGATCTGGCCGCCCAGTCGAAGTGGATGAAACCCATATCAAGGCCATTATCGATTCAAATCGTCACAGCACAACACGAGATATTGCAGAGAAGCTCAATGTGTCGCATACATGCATTGAAAAAAAAATGAAAAACCCTTGGTTAAAGGAAATTCATTTGACGCAACGGATTAGCATCAGTGATTCGCCGCTACTGAAACGCAACGAGAATGATCCATTTCCGAGGAAGAACCTAGTTACTGGCGACGAAAAGTGGATAGTTTACAACAATGTTACTCGCAAGAGATCATGGGTGAAGCAAGATCAACCAGCCCAAACAGTATCAAAAGCAGCAGAGATTCACCAAAAAAGATTATGCTGTCAGTGTGGTGGGATCACAAAGGAATTTTGTATTTTGAACTCATGCCGCAGAACCAAACGATAAATTCAAATGTGTATGTTGAAGAACTCAAAAAAGTGAAGGATGCAATTGAAGATAAGCGGCGGGCATTATCAAATCGGCGGAAGGGTGTTGTTTTCCATCATGATAACGCAAGGCCCCCCCCCACACACATCTTTGGTTACTCGGCAAAAATTATTGGAACTGGGTTGGGATGTTTTGTCACACCCACCATATAGCCCTCACCTTGCGCCTTCGGATTACCATTTGTTTCGTTTCATGCAAAACTCTTGAAATGGTAAAATTTGTAACAACGCGGATGATGTCGGATCACACCTAATTCAGTTTTTTAATAGCAAAGACCAGACATTTTACGAAGGGGGAATTTTTAGTCTGCCAGAAGGATGGAAAAAGGTCATCGACAAGAACGGCCAATATCTAATTGAATAAAGCTATATTTTTAAACAAAAATTCCAAATTTGCCTTCTTATTTGAAATCGGCAATGACTTAGTTGCCAACCTAATATTATCACCCCCACTGTATGTCATATTCGACCCCTACCAGAGTACTCATCTTACCCTTTCTGTGCTTTCGTGCCTGTGTGGTTCTTTTACATCTGTGAATCACTCTTCTATTCTGCCTCCCCAATTCTTCTCACTTTGATGTTCCTCCTCCCCTCTGTGAAGCCCGAAGTCAGCTAAAGGGCTAATGATAACTATCAAAACGCCCGCCATTTGTTATAAATAATCTTTCCATAATCGCAACATGTGGAATTTTCTGCCGTGAAATGGACATAATTGAGGCTCAGCATATCTATATTTGAAGAGATGGGGTGTGCGATAGGTGTACCTCCACGTAGTGCACCCTGGGCAAAGTATACACATACGGCAAAAAAGTCTATTAACCGGCAGTTGACCTCATTTTCCTAATTAAATGAGCTGTTCGGTGTTTTAAAAAGGTGAAGATATTTCCGAAAGTGGGGGGGGGGGTGTTTGGCTGGGGGAGGGATTTATTATTATGACTGCTTTCACTTTTCCCAATTATAAGAATAGAAGGGAAGAAGAAAGGAAATGTGGAAGTTAATGTGAACGTACTTTTGGTAGTGAACTTTGGGAGGTGGTTTGGAAAGGTGGAGGTCAGTGATGTCCTTAATCCACTTTTCAACTTCTTTCACGTTTTTCTCCGGGTCTTCAACAACTTTGACTACCTAAAGGGAGGCACAATGAATATTTCATTCAGGTCGCGATAGCATAAATTTCATTAAATTTGTAACATTTCCTTATAGCGCTGGACATTAAAAACGTTAAAATCGCCTTTAAATATTTGGAAATATAAGAGAAGTCAACTTAAAATACCGTGGGTTACTTAACCCATCTTGATTGTAAATTAAAGATTTGTTGTGGACTATTGAGTTATATGAAAATTGAGAATCTTGAGACGCCTTAAATTTCACTTGGCTTAAAAGCTAATTCATCATTTGTCTTGAAGTACTTTTAAAAGCACAAACCTCCACAAATATTAAAATTTAATCCAATCGCATTTTGAGTCTATTGATCGAACGAACTCAACAAATGGAGTATGTGATAGACTTACCTCCACGTGGTACACCCTGGGTAACGTATACTCATACGGCAAAAACGTCTATAAACCGGCAGTTGACTTTTGACTTCCAACTGCAATGACCGCACTGTATGCCATATTCCACCACTTCCACAATACTCATCTTACCCTTTTCTCTGCCTTTGTATCTGGCTGCCTCTTTTACATCTGTGAACCACTCTTCTGTTCCCACCCTCGACTTTTTGTGACTTTGATGTTCTTCTCCTCTGCGAAGCCCAAAGTCAGCTCAATGGCTAATGATAACTATCAAAACGCCTGCCATTGTAAATGAATATATAATTATAAATCAATGAACCCAACAAAAAAACAATTAAAGTAAATAAATATTCAACTGTATTGGTATGTTCAAGTCGAGCAAAATACTCTTACACGTATAAAGCCAAGGAGATTGAATAGGCATGGAAATAATAACCGCTGCTCAAATTGAAATAACTTCGTTATTCAAGAGCGAAATCTTTGAGTTCGCAAAACTGAAGTTTAATTCCAGAAGCTATGTGCCAGTGCTCGCTAATTTACATTAGCTAACACCCATTGGAAACAAGTACTTCAGTGGCATGATTCACCGAAATAGATCCCTTGCTTTAGATAACACTGAAGAATAGAAGATAGTTACATACAGCCGACTTTGATGATTATTTGCATTAATATCATGGTAGGAAATATCGGGTTGATCTTTACAAATTAGATGGAAAAATTAAAACAAGACAGGTGACCGTGTTCTCTTCTTGACTAATCGTAAATGAGATTCCGTGGGAGATCGAGGGATCGCGTGCCTGATCGATTACTCAGACTGCATCGGCTCAAAAGTAAGTAAAACTATTTCTAGACTGACTGAGTAGCTTGCATCACCTTGGATCAATTAAGGATGAGGTTTTTAATCAGATTAATTAAGTTCATTTTACAAAGATGTTACTAAAGAAGTAAAGTAGGGAAGATCTCATTGTTTTCAATTCCAATTTACAGAGAGGAAGAAAGATAACGTGCTCGCTGCCCTGGAAATGACTTTTGATAGACAAATTACCCAGATGACAGAAATAAGAGTACTTCCAACAAAAAAAACCAAGTTTAATGACTTTGACAGATATTGAACTTTCAGGATGGTAAAATTTAGGTTTGCAACTTGAACTAATAAAATTATCCTTCGATGAGGGTTACTTTTAAAGAAAATTAAGGAATACTTACTCGCTATTTACATCATTAAAGCATTTATAAATTAGAAAGAATATGCATTTATTCATTAAGGCATCCGTGTTTTGGTGATCTCAACTAAATTTTCAGTTTCTTTCCATTAAATTAGTCAATGTACTTCACTGTTTAATTTAATAACTATACACTATAATCCAAGGTGTATTTTGACTGACAAATGTCTTTTCTGCTCTGGGTTCAATCACACACTCTTAGACACACTTTTCTCACCCTTTTTTAGGCTGGTGCACGAGGCGAATGCTCTTACGCTGTTAAAACCCATTTATGTATTGACCTTAATATTGCAATCCATTCAGTCGACCATCTAGTATCTCTATCTTGTACAGGCTAAGTTGAAATGCAGGATTTTAAAATAGTAAATTTTAAGTAAAATATATGCGAGTGTTACCATTTCTTTTGTTGTTTTCTGCTTCGAGGTAGCTCGAAGCTGTAAATCCAGGAGTATCGCATCAGACTGAGTGATACTCGGTTCGTCTAGTTGGATGAGACCCAAATTATCACATTTCCCATCGGGACGAGGTACCTAGGAGTTAACTTGAAATAAACATTTCCGTATTCTAGAAATTGTTTTGGACAGAGCGTACCCCCAAGAAGGCATCTGCATCCCCAACCGCAGGTATATAATCAGGAATAAAGGGGTAAAGCCGCGTTTTCAGTTCAATTGTTTCAGGTGAGTAGTAGTGGATAAATTGAAACATCTCATTCATTTCAGCTGATACATCCAAGTGATCGTAATCCAAAGGTTCGTTAAAGCTGAAAGCACATATCCTACTTATCATATTATAAGTAGCTACAATGAATTTGAGTCAAAATGGTTTACTCCGTTATCTGCTCGCTTCTAGAATTATTGTCGTTTCCACTCGCATCACTGAACTCCTCATTACCATTAGACAGGGGCGAAGTATTACATCGATCTAATAATACATTGATTAATTATATATCTGTATGCAAACCTTGTTTGAAATATTTCAAATAATCACTCTCTCGGGGTGAAGGGGTTGCCGGAAATTTTTTCTAAATCAAGATAAATGCTTAAAATGTACTAAATACTCATGTACTAAATGTAAAATCAGATAGAAAACCAAGTAACATTGCGAACATTTCGTTTCAAAGAGAAGAAGACAAAACAAACGAAATAATACAACAAGAAAGTAATGACCAATCTAAGGATTCTCTCAAGTTATTTTGTAACTGTCTTGCCTCCTCCTTTTCGGAATAATATTCCAGTGTGTTGCAAAGCTTGTCATTACCTTAAAATTAAATACTTTCTTAATACATGCTTCAAAGATTGCATTTTATCAATAACAATATATTACCGTTTGAACTAGTGGTTTCTACATCGTCATAAGAATCACTCATACTTTCTTACTGTCAAGAGGAGAAAATAGTTCTATGTTAATTAGGCTTATTTAATATCGACGAACACACTCAAAACTTAAGTTAAAAACTATCCGATAGTCATAAAAATACAAATAACATCATAATTTTAAAACATGCAAAGTCGAGGTAGATTAAAATTCATCACAGATCGGGTCTAGAGTACTAATTAAATCTGTCACTTATGCATTCATAGGGTTACATTGGGTGATATGAAGAATTAAAACGAATACCATTCTCAAGCTATTTTAATTTTCATTATTTAAAATTTTGAATTTACACAAAATTTTTTACATAAATAAATAGCTAAATTGTACTTATTACTTCCATAATAATATTTCAAATAATGTTTGATTTTCGCCCAATCTAAACAATCTCAATTATTACTGTTTTAAATATAGTTCACAACATACACATATGACAACACATTCAAAAATATAAGTGAACAGTTTTGCATTTAAACGAAATTACAATTAAGCTACATATATATTTTACTAAGAATTCATTTCAATGAAATGAGAAATGTATTAAAGTTAATCATTCCACCCCTCCCTATAGCTTTAAAACTTTTGTAATCATTATGGTTCGGTACAAAATGTGAACAAATAGACCGTCTGAATGCACTTCACTTATTTCGTAATTAATCAAACAAGCCCTTAATCAACACCTATGCTCAGCTCAATGAAAGGAGGATCGATGCCTCTAAATTTTCGACTTTCCATAACTTCCTTTAGATATTTATAGAAGCCATTATCATTTTCTTCGTTATTCTTTCAACATTTCCTTGAGATATAATATTTACGACAACTTAAAATAAATGCTTAATTTTCGCATACGTAACTCAACGCCATGTGCTGCAAACAATTAAGCCTCAAATAAAATCATAATTGTACATGAAATATATTCCGTCGACTGGTTAAATCAGTGCAAGAGACCACGTTGGGATGCACCCTTACCCATGACGCGATGTCTAAGTATACTTAGAAGAATAATTCAGAGACTAAAACAATCAATACAACCACAGTTCATTCTTTTCACGTCTTTATAAAATTCGAAAGTTGGAGTCATTTAGGCATTACTTTTCGTCAAGTGGGCTAATTCGTTATTTATCGCGAAAAAAAACAAATAGATATTCGCTACCCCAAAAACAATAGATAAAAAAATCGATTAAAATTTAAGAAAATGCTTAGTTATTTCAACAAAGTATCTCAATGAACACTTCATGACTTATAGGTTGACATGAAATACGACCGGACGTCCCGAATTCGAGCCATTGTTGTGAAGGCCTCGAGTAATAATTTCACTACTTAGATTTGCCACCGCATTTCCAGGCTTTCTTTTTTGGGTGGTCAAGCTGAAATAAAACCAAAACCAATTAAACAGGACCTTGTATGACCACAGTGCTGGGTAAATGCAATGGTCCTATTTAGCACAGTTTTTTCAACATTTTCTAAAAAATTAAAAGAGTAGCAAGTTATTATTACGAAAATAACTGAATCGAAGTCTATTAGCTTTTATTTTAAGTTTCACTCGGTAACTACTAACCAAACTTATATACTTGCAGTCCCAGATACATATGTTATCAAGCGAATTAGCAATTAAGAAGTCACGATTAACGTCAGAAGTCAGGGGTCTAATCATCAACGTACGGTCAACTGGACTGATTAAAAAGGAGGGCTACAGAATTCGCGCTTTTCACCAGGAAGGCTCTATAAGAGCAAATATTTAATTTTCGACTAAATATGCAAAAAGACAAATTTTAAAAACATTTGTTAGCATGGTAGATTGTGAGTTAAAAGAGAACTTGAGCTCAATTATCGATGTTTCAAATTTCATTCTTCTGCAATAGATGATAGGGAAAAGTCACTCCGAAAAACTCGCATAAGCAAGTCGACTTAACAAACTGTGACGTAAGAATAAGCTAACTCAGGATTGAACAGTTTTTTCTTTACCATTCTCACATATAATACACGGATCGAAAACCATTTTAGACAAAAATGAGCACTGCTATGATTAGATGAACACTTTCAACTATTCAAATATAGAGACGTCTAAAAATGCAAATATTCAAGCCACATCTACTGATTCAAACCTAGATTTTGACGAATATTGGTGAAATTAGGAATGGAGAAAGTACTTCGTCATGTAAGCCCTGCATTCAGTAAGTAGACAATACGACTGAAGTAAGATATAAAGTATACTAGCAAAACAGAAGCATGGAAAAATAGCAAAAAGAGAACAATCAGAATACCATTAATTTCTAAATCCGTATAAAAATATTAATCATAAAATAAAACATATCTTTCGACCTTTAACAATCCATCACTCTTTTCATGGCGACAATTTTTAAAATTCTGAACCTCATGAAGGAAGAAATGGTTAATTTAGCAAAATAGCTGATTATCAACCTACCGCTCCCATAAAACACATAACTTTCGCTACAATCGATCGAACAGAGAGAGACAGAGGAATTACAATGAAAAACCGCCAACGGATCAATAATTAAAACTTCTATCAAGCATTAATCAAAGATTAGGAATAAAAATACAAGTAATAAACGAACCCTTCGGAAGACTGTAGACTGCTGGGCTGAAGAGAAGATGACGGAGGTATAGACGTCAATAATTTTACATGCATTGGTTTGCCATCTAATTCACGATTATTGTACCGAGCCACCGCTAATTGGGCATCTTTAGCCGAATTGAAGATGACGTGCGCCACTGATGGTTGCACAAAATTGCACGAACGCAGAGCTCCTACACCTGCAAACAACTCCTATAGATTGAACGACAGAAATTTCTGTTACTCTTTCAAAACCAACGTGATAAAGGTAGGGAAAAAAACAACTTACATAAACATCGTCAATAGTAACTGACCGAAGAAGATTTTTAACTTCAACCCTATATCCTTGTATAGGACTAAGAATGGAATCAGCAGCTCCCGAATTTTGAACAGACCGAACTAAAGGTTGTTGTTGAGGTATTCTGACACTGGAATTCTGTTTTAATAGAGTCGGGGACTTGAAAAGAAATGAGGATACTGCATATAATTGTCAAACAAAGTTACCGTTCTAACTCCCGTAAAATATTCATTTGATATCTACAAAGATTCCAGACGTTTAGATTCAATATAACTTACCGTGCGTCTAGGAATAAGAAATGGGACATTTGATTTATTTTTAATAGCATCACGTATATTTTTAACTCTTCCAAATGAACGCCTCTGTGCCAAAATTTTGCGAGCATCAATCCGTGCAGGAGCACCTTTCGGCGAGCTTAGAATTTTGATTCGAAGATCAGTAACATTATTCTGGCGATTGCCTTTACCCAAACGTTCCCTTCAGAAAATTTAAAAATGAAAATGACTAACTTTACTGATTTCTTTACCAAACGTCTTTCGAAAGTATTTTCCATGTTTGAACAAATAGGTCAAACGACAAAAGTATTTAGTGTTCGAAGTAACGTAAAACAGGGAAATGAAGTAAAAACAAAGACAAATTGACACACGGTTGCCAATTAATTAATTTCAGTCTTTTAATTTATATTTTGACAGAGGAATCTTAAGTTATTACTTGAGCCTATTATAATTATACAAAAAATGAGTGGTTATGTGAAAATGATATATTTCATAACTGGTAAATGCTAATACTTCAAAGCTTCCCTTTCAATTACGGAAAATCTAAATAGACAATGCGAAGAAATCTAGTGTAAATATTATTTGAGTGGCTTATTAAAGTAAAGCAACTTTGGAAATAACTGATAAATAATGAATTTACACATTTACATGATAAATCATAAAGTAGCAGAAGTCCGATTTATCAAATTTCATCGCACGACACATGAATGTGCTTATTTTTAAACGAGTTCGCTCTAATTTTCTTAGTAAGAACTGATCAATCTGATAGAATATCAATATCAACATCCATGGAAGAACTGTTTAGATGAACGCTTTAAAATTGAACCCTTAAAAGTTATTATTTTCATATTTTTAGCAAAATGATAAAAGTAGTAGAAATAGGAGAAAGAAATTTTTAAATATCTCAATCTCTGAAATAAATCTACAGTAAAACTACTAAATCGTACGTTCAAAAAATAGCGGTGTGGCGGAATGATTTTAAAGATCATCTCAAAAAACCATTCACCTGTATATTTTAATAAAGTACGTACATTTCTAAGGTAATGGTTCTACTTACTTTATACTATTATTTGCGCAATAGGCTCTAATCTCCTCTAAATTATATATATTAGTATAATTTAGTAATTGTTGACTTAAATGTTCTTTCACGAAAAAAGCGATTTAGCCTTTTTAAGCCCAAAGAATGGGATAAATTTTTAAGTGGATTGTACAAATTAATTGAGTTATTTACGCAGGCTTTACAAAATACTTTAAAGCTAGCAAAATAATATATTTCTGTATATATTGCACCTCCCTCCCGTGTCTGCTAAAATATCGGTTTCGGATTGGACTTAAAGGGATATAATTTCTTATTCTTTAATATTCTTTAATCCTAGTTGTTTTAGTTGCATAATGATTTCATTTGTATCGGGTTGTGTCACTAACAATCCTTGACTTGGCCCCAGTTATCATTATGATAAAACCCCCTAGTTCGGAATGGCTCCTGATATTATCTTAGCTACATAAACGACATAGAGGAAACAGAACGCATGACCTGGAATATGTTTATTATGGTTGTGCATTCTACGGTATGCCCGCAGTGTTTGGGAAATTTGCACAAAACTTAGCTATTCGGTATTGTTTTTGATAAATTAACCCTGTAATAAATATTGATTATTGACTGCCTAATAGATCTCTGCATTCGTGACTTCAGTTACTCTCCAAACTCGACCAAAATCACGGATGCACATTCTAAAAGGTTCAAGTTTAATTTAATCGTGTTAGTAATGTGCATTCCATATTACTCTCCCCTCTAGTACGTTTTTAGAATGCCAATGAACTGTACAAGTAGTGTGATTGACATAACTCATTCCATCTACATCAACCAGGTCACAATAAACATTATTGACAATTTAAACGTGAAGGTAACATGATATATACATATGTTATTATAATCAAGGAAGAAATTAAAAATTGCACGCTTTCTGCTTTTTTTCAATAGTTCTTTGGGCTTATTTTATGCAACTATAGTTGTGATAAGCTGATTGGTAAAGAAGTGGTAAGAACAGTTCAAATAGTTTGAAGAGTAAATAATTCATCTGGATTCGCTAGTTTAAAGGTGTGGCAATTGGGATGCCATCACTTAAATTTTCCATGGAGTTAGATAAGCACGTTGAAGTAGTCAAGAATACATGATCCTGACATTTTATACCAATTACGATTATGGCCATGCCATCTAGCACCAATTTAGGCTTTCTGGAGCTGCTTAATCATGTCGATTTTAGGCAGATTTAATTGGGTGCTGCTGGCATTAGAGATAAAATAATTGGCCAGATCAAACCTATGCCAATTGATCTTGAATAATCTTAAATGACTGTTGTCTACATAGATATTTGTTCTGTTACATCTGTGAATCAGTATTCTGTCCGCCTCTCGACTTTTTGTCACTTTGATGTTCCTCCTTCCCCTCTGTGAAGCCTGAAGTCAACTAAATGGCTAACGATAACTATCAAAACGCCTGCCATTTGAAATAAATAAATATTTGTTCCAAAGAAGCCTTAAAATTATACGCTTATTTACCTACGAGTTGGTACAGCATTTACAGATATCATTCGAGGTGAATTCAAAAAACGCTTGCACTTAATTTGAAGTCTATGTACATCATACGATTTAGCCTTAGAATAAAGGTTTACTGTGCTAAAAACAAATTGGAAATATAGTTCAAGGAAAATACCTATCACTGAATGTTTTCAGGGGGTATTAAGACATTATAAGTATTTATGCAAGTTGTTTAAAACAATGGTAGAGCTTAATCGACAATAACAAGTGAATTCTGCTTAGCATAAAAAATTCTGATAACACCGCATTTGGGAAAAAGCCGGGCGTTTTGCCAATGAGACGTCAATGCATACTCACGATGAGAATACTAGAACTATGAACGATTGATTGATCGAGAACTGCTTATGAAATGGCATTAAAATTCTTTAATGCGGGGTGTGCGATAGACTTACCTCCACGTGGTGCAGCCTGAGCAACGTATACTCATACGGCAAAAAAGACTTCAAATTACAATGACCCTACTGTATATCATATTCGATCCCTTCTACAGTAATCATTTTACCTTTTCTATGCCTTTGTATCTGTCGGTCTCCTTCGCGTCCGTGAATCATTATTCAGTCCCACCTCTC